CCTCTGAGATCCCTCAGTCTGTTCCATGTTTCTATGTCTCTGGATCTGTTTTGTTCATCAGTTTATTTTGTTCATTATATTCCACATATGAGTGAGATCATGTGGTACTTGTTTTTCTCTGACTGGCTTATTTTGCTTAGCATAATACTCTCCAATTCTGTTTTTTAATCATGGAAAATAATTTCTCTATGCCTGTTTAATAAATTCTGGTAAATCTGTAAATTTTTTGTCCTGCAGAATTATTTTACAACAATAAAAGGTCTCACATTTGCATTGAATTTTCTGTTTACATAGTACTTTATCATCTGTAAAGATAATTAATTTTAGCAGTTCGACAGTTGTCTTTCTGGTTTGATAAGAACTCTAAGGTAATTTCCACTAAATTAGGTGATACATGAAGATGATATAGTACATTGGCAGAGATAATTTTTCATTTTGAAGTTCCTGTTTAAAATTCTAGAGTTCTCTAATTTAATATGTAAATTAAGTATTTAGTTTTAAATAGTGATATGATGATTTACACTATGTGAATATAAATCAATGCTAATGCACTGTATTTTAATACCTGGGCACATTCTGAAATTAACTTGGAATGTACATTATCTTTATATTTCCTATTTTGAAATACTACAAAATTTTACACTACAAAAGCCTGTATGCTTTTAGATAATCGTATTCAGCACTTCTAAAAAAAAAAAAAGGTGATTTAACTGTGATAATTTATTAAGAGATTAATAGATCTCATTTGCTGTGACTCAACTTACATATATATTTATGTGATTTTTAAAGAATTCCATTAAAGAACATATGATTGTGTTCTTTAGTATTTTACAGTAAAAATTAAATATTTAAAAAATTTCATTTAAAATATTTTGTAGAGAAATTTCCTGCATTCTCTCCCTCATAGAAGATGCCTTTACTAACTTACCCTCTTGAGTCATAGAGAAAGCAAAACCTATTAAGCAAAGAAAAGAACTCCAAACTAGTTTCAGTGGATGGCAAGGAGTTAGTAGTTGTGTAGTGCAGAAGTTGCTATGCCAAAATAAGTGTTAACTGGGCTTCACAATCTAATTTGTAAACAGTTTACATTTTGGCATTGATACTGTAATAAAGAATTAGCAAAACCTTTCTCATTCCCCATAAGGGCCAGCAGTATATGAAAGTAGCATGAGAGAACATATACCTATATGACTTAATAAGATGTACACAAAATTGACCACAGGACTATAAAAGGACAAAAAAATAATCATGCACCAATAAAGGCCTAGAGGTCTAACCTAAAAAGGCCTATTGTGAGGAAAATATATCTTTAAAATACTGTGTTTTTTTTTAAAGATTAATGCAAATGTATTCTACTCTGAATATTTGTTTTACAGATTTATGAATATTTATATTTAGAACTGAGTGAAATAGATGGTCCAGGAAATGAACATGATTTCTGAGGTTTTGTGTGTTCATAGGCAATCATCATGTACCCCTTGGTTTTAGAAGCACAGACTTGTGAAGTCCCGTAGACACCTGCGAACTCAAAGATATTTCCCCAACAGGCTGTCATTTAATTTTATTCCCCTTTTCCTCTTCTCTCTGAAGAGAATTATGAATGACCAACAACATTAGAAGAAACATATATATTATAAAAAAAGAACGGTTTCCACCCCAATTTACCCCTAGCCTGTCAGTGATACGCAGTGTAAGAAGTGTGGTCTTTGAAATTAGAAATCTGTGCATCCTAATCATATATGTAGAACTTCTATGTATGATCTTGGGGAAATCTTTCACCTAATTTTAGCTCCCATTTCTTAATTCTTTATTCTATATAAGGATAGCAAGCCCTGTTCATTATGTTACAGTGAGAGTATAAAGATAGTATACATAGAGTGTTTGAAATAGTGCATTTTATTCATCGAGCAGGAATTGACTGTATGCTTACTCTGTGCTAGCCATGCCAATAACCACAGACGATAGAGCTGTAAACAGACACGGCCTTTGGCCTCCTAGAGCTCAGAGCATATGAGGCAGAAACAGAAACAAAAAGAGCAAACTAATAAACAATTTCATATATTTGTAAGTTTTTAAAAAGAGAAAAAATAGTATATTATATCAATGGTGTAATGACACAGGCTCACATTGGCACAGCTAGTAAAAACTGTTTCTTTGCATTTCTTCCTAACTTTACACTAGTGACATCATGTTGGTAGGTTGAAATTGGTCATTGTCAGGGTACTTACACCAAGGAAATAATCAAGGGCCACAAATTATCATTTCCCCAACCCCTGTCCCTGAGAGCTTGCTCTTATATCTTTACCAACACACTGGTGGGTGTGGTAGTGACAGGGATATGCAAGGATGATTAATAGATAGGATGGTCAAGGCTCCCTGAGGAGATGGCATTTAATTAGAAGACTTAAGAAGGAGCTAGTCCTTGCAGAGATCCAAGGTCAGAGCATTTTAGACAAAGAGAACTGCAAGTACAAAGGCTCTATGGCTTGAATGTTTGAGGAACAGCTATTTATAAAATTATAATTTACGATGGTGCCTATTTCTGAGAAGATACTAACTGACCAGGGTTTCTGAGAATGACTAGGGTTGTGAGCTTCTAGTTGTTCAATATGTGACATTAATGTTCAAAACTGGCTTGTGATCCAGACAGTCTGGGGTCTGGGAGATTCTACTAGCTAATGTAAATTATGCTAACATCAACTTATAACTTTCTGCTAGGACTTTACAACAAACTCATTAGACAAGTAAAGAAAAGGTACCTTTGTTCCTCAGCAAGTTATGCTAATTAGTGGAGAACCTGGGGTTGGAAATTTAGAAGGACTAGACTCCAGGCCTACACCTAGCTCCTGGTCTGTGCTTCAGTGAGAAATTTGGAGAGAGAAAGGAGAGTAAGAAAGAAAAGGCAAGTGTGCCAAAAATGCTTTGATAGGCTTAGGGGAGGCAGAGGAGAGAAGCAATTGGACTTGAGCTCCCAAAGGAAAACTCCAGAAACTGGATCAAAGATCAGGAGACTGGAGAAAGTAGTTGCCAAAAAGGAAATGCACCAGAGTGATGAAAAGACTGAAGACAAACTTGCTAATGTTGACAGCAGGGGATGTAGATCCCAGTCTTTGCAACCCTTTTACCCCAGTTTGATCTTTCACTCATCCTTCAGAAAATTAACTATTTGTGGGCTTGAAATTTAGGGATATATTTTGAAGAGCTTTCTTCCATATTAACTTATAAAATATCCTGGCCATCTATGTAATAACTATTGTAATTAGATATTATGTATTACCAATTTTAACACTTAAAACCTTAAAACGTTTTCCCACTAAAATGAATTTTTCCTCACAAATTGATACAAATAATTCATGTCATCTTTTTTTCTAGTTTTTCTACTTTTAAAAAATATTTTTATTATTACATGCATGAATGACTTTATTAATTATACTTTGCTGACTTTTTTCATTACTCAAGGATACATATAGGACCTGGTTTTAATATTTAATAGTCCATCTTTTTTCCACAATTGATAGGAAGAGGTGCTTAAGTGTCAAGGGTCACTTTCTAACACTACAGTATGGATTTAATTTTTTTAAATTTAAATATGTTTTTATTGATTTCAGAGAGAGGAAGGGAGAGTGAGAGAGAGAAACATCAATGATGAGAATCATTGATCAGCTGTCTCTTGCATGCCCCCTACTGGGGACGGAGCCCCTGCATGTGCCCTGACAGGGAATCCAACCATGACCTACAGGTTCATGGGTCAACGTTCAACCACTGAGCAACACCGGCTGGACTACAATATAGATTTTTAAAAATATATATCTTTATTGATTTCAGAGAGAGGAAAGGAGAGGAAGAGAGAGATAGAAACATCAATGATGAGAGAGTCATCATTGATTGGCTGCCTCCTGCATGCCCTCAACTGGGGGTCGAGCCCACAATCTGGGCATGTGCCCTGACCGGGAATCGAACCCCGATCACCTGGATCCTAGATCGATGCTCAACCGCTGAGTCACGCCCAGCCAGGCTATAATATGGGTTTTTATTTCTTGCAATAATAAATGGGTAATTTTGCAATAGAATTTTTAGGAAGGTCTTGATAATGCAATGACAATGAAAATAATGGACTCATTTTCATAACCAAACCATACTTATAAAGTAGGCCTCGATATTCCAGTAAATAGCATCATAGTCAAATAAGTCTCTTCTCAATTGTTTGCATTTTAAAATTAAGGAAACAAATTCATAAGAATATTTCAAGCAAAAGGGAGATTTGGAAGGCAAAGGAAATAGGACCTCTAACACCTGTTGCTTAAATGTTATTTAAATATATTTCTTTTTTTTTTAAGTGAAATATCAGTTTCAAGTATGAGGAAAATAAAATCTAGCTCCCAGCTGCTCTTGGAGGGAAGGATGGGGCTAGGACAAGGGTCCATGTGCAAGGCTACAGGAGGGCAATAAAGGTCAGTGGTACTGAAAGTAAACTAAGCCTAGCGAGCATTCCCAAGGACTCACTGCACTTGAACATGTGATAGAGCTTTTCTCTGTGCAGAAATATTGAGCATGACACATTTTTCCACTGATTATTAGAAAAGATATTTGCTTATACCTGAAATGCAGGTCTTTGAAGGAGAATTGAGTTTCAATGATTCCAGTTGTTTTCACTCGAGTATGTAGAACATCTTGCTCATTTGGGACATATGCAGGAGCTGTTATTCTGTCCAAATCATTAAGGTAGCTAATAAGAAAATAAAATACCACATATGTTTTTAACTTTGCATTTGAAGATACCAGGATTCAGTACAAATGACTTTTTTTTTTTTTTTTGGTTTAGAGTCCATTAAAATTATAAAATTCCAGACTGGTGATTTTCAAATTCTGCTTTTCAGAATTACAAGAGTTTGGTGGTTGGAGTGCTGCAGAGCACTGAGTGTGATGCACAACTGACCTGTGGAGGTGGGGGCCTCTTTTAAAAGTAGGTAGATAAATTCTGCTTTAGCTTGCATTTTATGAGTTTTATGTGATATATTCGTTGGTGAAAGATAGACATTTGAGAGAAAAGTTCTCTTTATTAGACTTACATCATCCAAAAATGCTACCCTGTAAAGATGAGCGCTAGTCTAGTGATCACTAGACTAGTCTCAAAATATTGTAATTTGTATTTAAGCACTTTAAATTTTAAAAGTGATTGGTTTTAATATCATAATTTGAGAGTTGTTATGTTATTCTCCATGGATTGTCTAGTTTAGGACTCTGAACAAATTTCATTAAGTGCTGTGATTATATCCAGGTTAGTTCAATAAAATAAGAAACTGTTGACCTTCTTGTTGGTTCACACTGGAACTAATTTATGAAATTGCTGACACACCCCTGAGCAGGCAGGCATTCCTGGGGACAGAAAACTGAACCTATACCTTGTACCCACTCCCACTTCGTCTACTCTTCCATCGGCGCATCAGCGTGTCCCACTCTTCCCCAGAGGCCATATTTAAAAACACTGCTGTTACCAGGATGAATTCTGCTCTCTTTCTGCCCACAGGATCTAGGAGTGATGAGAGGCAGGAATAAGTCTGATTAAGCTGTGTGCTCTGTAAGAAGTCTGTTAGGTAAGAGGAAGGAAACTGCTCTTAGCTTCATCCTTGAAACCAGATAATGTCTTTAGACTAAATACAGTGTTTTATTGCTTTAAAAACAGTCAAAAATCACTGTTTTAGACTTTTAATACAAAGGCTTTAGTAGTTTAGCATTATGGCTATTTCAGGGAAAATGTTAAATAGAGATAGTAATAGATTGATAAGGTTTTTGTGACAAAATTGGTCATTATATTGAACCAAGTTTACACATATAGCTTAAATAGAAAGATCATGATGGGCTTATATCCATTCACATAGAATTTGAGAAGTAGAATCCATTTGAATGTTAGTTATTTAAAAGTTGAATTTTCCTAGGGCTAAATTGAGGAACTGTTTATGCCTTAGCATCTAGCACAGTGCCTTAAAAAAGCAAAGCTATTTTATCATTCATTAAAAAATAAATTCAATAGTGATGTAGATAATTTATTCTTGAAGGCTCTTTCTCCTTTTAAGCTGAAATAAACTTAGAACAGGTAATACTTTTGGCTAAGGACAAATAGACCATCACATATCAGAAACACATATATGTAATAATGTAAAAATATATTACCCTATTTCCTTCTAATAAAGTTTATCTTAAAAAAGAGAGAGAAATAAAGATATAAATATTTCAGAAGAAAGTATTGGAAGATTTTTCTAACTTATCTATTTTATATTTTGTGAATCAAGTTCCTTTGTGAATTCCGTACAAAGAAAGTTGACCTAGGTGGTAGGCAAATGATTGGTCGATTGGTTCATGCAGGAGCAAAACCAAAATGAAACAAAACAAAAACATACCTGCCATGATAGATATAAAATTTGTTTTAATAATAGGTAAATGAATGCTTTGGTAAAGACACATTTTAATGTACTTTTATTTGTATATATAAATCATTTCAAGCAAAGCAGAAGCCTTAACAGAGTGACAGATTTGCATTTAAAATGTTTGTTTTTATAAACAAATATAGGATTTGGGTGCTAAAGCCTGTGGGCTAAAACTTAAACCAAACCAGAGGCCCTAAATATATATAACTCAAATCACCTAAAATATCTGATTCTCTTTCTAATCATGTAAAAATACTATTTTTCCTGGTCAATTCTATGTTAAATCTTAAAGGACATGGAATTTGAATAGCACACTAGATAGCCCCAATGAGTAAACCATCAAGTATCAAATTAAAATCTTTCTCCTGGTTGCCACTGTCATGATGCTTTCCCTTCATTTTGCTAGTAGTGATAGTGGGGGAGGTGCTATGTTGCCAACAGACAACATTCTTTTTCCTTACACTGCTTTGAACTCTGTTAGCTTCATCTTCAAGGGTATCTACATTTGAGAGAATAACAAATATCTCACTTTCACCAAAGAATGACAGAAAGAGGGAGGGAG